GGAATGCATCTTAAAGCAAGCAAAAGCTGTTTTTAGACTGCTAACATATTGAATTTATAGTTTATTTAAAAAGGACATTTTTGATATTGCACTATTTATCCACTGAGGCTAACCCCAGCTCCCAAAGATTTCCACTGAAATTACAAACGCCCATAGGCCTCAATAATAGTGCTGCACAGTTGTCTTAAAAAAAATAAATAAAATAGTGACTAAAATTGAAAATGCATCACCACAGATTTACCCAGAGAAAAGTTTGTTGCAGGTCCGTAACATCTGTTGAACAACAGTTTTCATGATCCCTCCGACCAAAACGGAGACGACACGCCACACAAAAAGGCCAGTGCCAGCTCCGAGGACACGTGGGCCAGTCTATATCGTGTCAAAGATGAAATGCATACGGAGGTCAAACGAAATACACAGTGAAAACGAGTAGCGCAGCTTCCCTCCCCTGCAGGTCAGATTGCACAGAGAGCTGGCGCAACGCACCAGGTGGGGTAAATAAATACAAACAGGTGTAATTAGTTTCAGCTGATTCCTTCTCGCCCCGCACCGACAGCCCCCCCTCTACAATACGTTTTCAGGGGCAGCTCCGATCAAGTCAGTTCCCAAAATTTGGCCACCCCATTTTATTGTTATTTTATGTGGGCAACATTATCTCTAACAGGATGCAACCGCGGCCTGCGATGAGTTGCCTCGGGGGGAAATTCAGGTTCGACCAGGGCGTGTGTGTATTTGTTGTAGCCCTGCGTGTTCCAAGAAGCAGGATTACTTTTTACTTGGAAATCTTTTTCCGAGTAAAACTGGCATCTTAGAAATCCAATAAATAATTTCAATACATGTGCTTTTGTGGCATACAGTGGTCATAATCTTAATTAGAATTTCATATTTTATGACATTTTCTTCCTTTTAAGCATCTGTTTGTCACTGTACAAATTTAAATAATAGTTTGAGATTTTAACCATTAGTTTAGATATATAACAGTTCATATTGAAAACCTCAGCAAATTTTCCAGGCTGACGCCAAAGTGCCTGCGGGGCAAAAAGGAGCTTAAAGTATGTCCAAAAGTTGTCCTTTTAAGAAAATGTCCTTGAAATTTTACGAATCTGTGAATATCATAATTTACTTAGATGACTTTACACTTCAGTATTTGAAGTGATCTCTGTCATTTCACGATGGCTATAAAACACAGGAGAATGGAAGAAAACGCACCGGATGAATACTGAACTTTAGAAAGTTCATAGAAATTTGACAAACTAAAAAAAGAGGGAAAATCATAAAATAATAAAACTTGAACCAGCTCTGCTATTACAGATGTAAATCTTTTACAGATCACCTGCTTGTGCGGGTTGATGTGGTTCAGAGCTCATCAACTTTACTGGGTAGCTGTGTGCACTCGTGTTTGTCACAAGGTTGGAAACAAAGTTCGCCTGATGCTCTCTCAGTCCATCACAATCATTCAGGATGCTGAAAACATCAGACGTGCTCCTTCTCTTCTGTCTTGTTGGGGCAGCGAATGCCCTGTACAAGCAGTGGATTCCTGACACCAACTATGAGAATAAGACCAACTGGGACAAAAAAGAAGTTCCGTGTGGCAATGACATAGTCGAGTTTTCAGCCCAGAGAAAAGTGTCTGTGTTTGTGGAGACCACGCATGCTGTGCAGGAGATGAAGCTGCCAGTTGATGGAGAGTTCATCCTGAATTCAGGAGCTGGATTTTATGTCGTGGCCGGACAAGATCCAGGATGTGGAGCAGGTGTCACAACCCAGTTCAAAGATTCAGAGTCTCTTCAGTGGTTCAACCCAGCTCTGTGGCAGGCGGCTGCAGCTCTCGATGACCTGCAGCGTGGAAACTTCCTGTTCTCAGTCCATGAGGAGAGCGTCCCGTGCCAGTATGATGATGTGGTTTTTAAAGCCCGCTCCTCTTTCAGGGTGGACACCAGCTCCAGTCAGTCTAGCATTCCTGTCAAATCTGTGTCTGTGCTGGGGAAGATGTTTGATAGCCAGCCTGAGTTCTCCCAGTATGTCAGCTCACACTCGGGCCAGCTGCAGTTTCACGGATCCTCTGCCGTCACTGTTGGGAAACCAGGCTGTGGGGATCCTTCTGGCTGTGACTGTGGGAATTCTGTAAACCATCAGCGGATCTGTGGCACTGTAAAATGTGCCTCTCTGAGCTGTAAAAAGCCTCTCCTCCCGGTAGGACACTGCTGTGATGTTTGTGGTGCAATTGCCACTATCCATTATGCTGCTGCTTTTAACCTGCAATCTTACAGGCAACGAATCCATCACCTATTTCTTGTCCTGCCAAAATACAAATCCATTCAGCTGGGCATGTCTAAAGTCTTCAAGTCACAGCGTTTCATGGGGATCATCCCTTTTGGTACCTCACCTGAGATCCAGGTGGTTATCCTGGATGGAGAGAAGGGAAAACAGTCAGAAGGTCTGGCCCGGGACATTGTGAAGGATGCCCGATCTCATGGCTCTACCTTAGGGATCACTGGGGCTGAATTTCAAGCCTCCTCTGGGAGCAGCAGTGGTCAGTCTGGAGGCAGTGCTGGGATGGTGGTTGGAGTTGTGTTTGGTGTTTTAATTATTATTGCGTTCATTATCATCATGGTTCTCTTGATTCAAAAGGGGGTTGTTCAAATGCCATCACTGCCTCCGCTGCCGTCTCTGAGCAGCTTGAAGAGACACAGTGATGTTGGAGAGCTTGGTGGTCCACTTGACCATGGCTATGATAATCCAATGTTCGACAAGCCCAGCTTGATGCCTGAAGTTCCTGGTCTGTATGCAACTGAAACAAATAATTCAATCTCCCTGACTCAGACAGGTGTACACTTCATAAATCCAGTTTATGACGAGAATGAAACTGATTTTAATGCATGAAGTTGACTGCAGTGAACTTAAGGTATGTTAATAATTTCCAATGTACCTTTGTATTAAACTGATGATTTTACAGACCTGTACTAAACAGTAAATCCTTTTATAGCTTTATAATTCAGCTACGTAAATAAATAAGTTCTGACAGACACTGAAGCTTTTAATAACAAAATGCACTTGTTTTTTGTTTTTTTTTAAGTATATTTTTTTCGGCTTTTATGCCTTTATTTGAGAGGACAGCTGGAGATAGACAGGAAAGGGGGACAGAGAGAGGGATGACACACAGCAAAGGGCCGCAGGTCAGATTCGAACCCTGGCGCTGCAGCAAGGACTCAGCCTCAGTACATGGGTCGCCAGCTCTACCGACTGAGCTAACCAGGCGCCATAACAAAATGCACTTGTAAGAGAAATAAATACTCATTGGAAGACATTTGTGTACTTTTTTTCTTCATTCATATCACATTCAAGAGCAGTGAAGTTGCAATAAAGCTGCAGTAAATTCCAAACACACCTACTGCTGCACGGGTTTCTTACGTCCATGCTGCACAGTTACCACTAGATGGTAGTAAATTTATCCTTCAATGTGTGTATGTGGAAAAAAAAATTCCTTCATATGTACCGTAACTTTCTGCACCTTGTTATGTAACCTCCATAAACATTTATAATGCACTGTTTTTTCTTTTACAAGCGCACAGTGAAGACAGGTTTGTTGGTAAAACATGGGAAGAGGCATCATTTTGCATCAACCAGAGAAACTACATTGTCCTTCTTTGACAGCCAGGCTGTAACATATAAGGGCTCTATGAAATCAGCAGTGTACTTGTGGAGCAGCCTCATAGGGCCGGTGACATCATAAAAAGACACAGAGCTTCGGTGAAAGTCAACATACAAGCCAACTCTTGTGATGTCAGTGACCTCCAAGGGCACCTCCACACCAGCGTGCCAGGCAAAGAAACCTCGGCTGTTCCTTCCCACGCACCAGGAAAAGTCGTTCCCATTGATGCAGCTGGTGCTCTGCTCCCCCTTACGGTCGATACTCTTGTACGTGAGTCCTACATGTGCACCTTCCCCACTCAGCTCGGCTTCAATATAGTGCCTCCCCAGGTAAAGGCTATCCGAGGTCATTGCCTGGCGCCAATATTCAAAGCGACTTGGGTGGTCTGGGTAGCTGTGCTGCCAGGGGCTGGTGTTGGTCAGCTTTCTGTTGTCCTCCATTACACGTAGGAAATGATGGGTGGTGTCTGGGTCAAAGGTCAAACTCCTTGTGTCTACAATACAGGGGAAATACTATTTGTGAATCGTTCATAAGCCAGATGAACAGGTGCGATTCGGCAAACAGAAAACACAGAACATCATATATTGAAAAGCGTATTTACATTTCAAAAAGTCCTCTCGCGTCTCAGGAACAGGCAGGGGTGAAGCTTGAGATTCTGACATCGGGGATTTAGTACCTAGTTTTTAATAGACATGAGGATTTATACAATATGCTGACATTTTGATAAATAGAGAGGTTTAAAAAAATGGAGCTGAGCAATGAAACATAACAAGAATAACAAGGCTATAGCTAGTGGCTTTGTAAGGCTGTAACAGCAGTGCTAACATGCTCACAATAACACTGCTAAGATGATGATGTCCGGCAAGTATGATATTTGCTATGGTCCCCATTTTAGCGTGTTAGCATGCTAACATTTGCTTATTAGCACAAAATTACCATTGAATTGTTATTAGTGGTCATAATGCAAAAATCATAACAATTTGTCCAATAGTTGTTGTGATAAATTGTTTCATAAAAGCACACATGTGAATCACATGGTGGCACTAGAGAAACGGTCAGGGGGGCACATTTGTCTGGGAACCATGAATTTGTGGAAATCCATCTAATATCTGTTTAAATATTTAGAATATTTTCTCCATAAGAAACCACACCCACCACTTGTCCAGATCAAGTTCAGTTTTTCCCTGTAGGAGGAGAGGATCAGGTCACACAGCTCTTGTGTAGCATCAGTCACTACTTGGACATAAGAGGTTAGATGATCCATACGGTTGATGTACACAGTAGGCAGACATACATCCGCCACACCTTTCTTCCACTCTGAGTACTCCTGAAACAATCAAAACAAAATATATTAACTTGATGACATCAAATATTTTCTGAGGTAGAAAATTGAGATAATACTTGCATATATCAAATCTTGCTGTGATCTTCCTGTGTGACAGTTACAGTTGTAATGTGTGAATCAAAGGTTCATATGATATATCTACTTACTACATTTTCTTAAAAAGTATAAAAGGTAAATTAAAAATGTAAATGGTTTGACATCGAAAAACATTTTTCGAGGAATACCTGGAAGTTGACATGATTAAAACTTTTAGCTTACAAAGATATTGCAAGAAAACAAACCCACAGGGCCACATATGAATCTAAGGGTTAAGAAATTGATTATGCACATGCATAGTACTGCTGCATCCAACTTATTGTCTCATGTAAAAACACAGTTTCTGGTGGATTTTGGACAATACTGAACCCTTGGTGTTGACATCAAACAAGAAGACATGCATTGCAGTATTTTGCACCACTTGGATTTCTGAGGATGTTTCTGTTGCAATTTTTGTGGGGTGACACGTTGAGTATCAGGATGACGAAATAACATGCAACTTCTCTTCTCTGATCCAGAACTTTACAATGAAATGCCTTAATGCCTGCCGTGTGTGCACTGTCAACACACTGTGGCATCCAAAATAAACTTTGCCTCAGAGAACATCCTGTTCTAATCCCAGATCACATGAGACATCTGATCAAAATGAATGCACACCTGGGTAATAGCTCTACTTATTTAGCATTATCTTATAAATTTCATATATTTTGTACCTGCAAGAAGTCAACATCAGACTTGCTCCTGGACAGTTTGTTCATATGAGCCAAAGTTTTCATCAGCTCTGTTCTCCTCTGCTCCAGATGTGCCTGGATGCCCTCTGCCTGTTTCAGGGCCTGTCTCTGTTCTCCCTCCAGCACCTCCGCCGCCCCTTTTCTGGCCTCCTCAACGGCTGTCTGCAGCCTGGCAAACTGCTGTTCAACGATAACACAAACCTCCTGCACTGAAGACTGAGGAAAGAGAAAATATGCGTAATGAAATCAGAATGTTTGGACTGTTATGCATTAAATGAATGTACAAAAAATTGTTATGGTATAATACTTGCCTATGTAACATACCTTAATTAAATCATTGTTGCTCTGTAGCTTTCCAATAGCTTTCTCAGCTGCTGAGGCACTCTGACTGATCTCTTCTTGCTTCTTCTGCAACTCTGCCTACAAACGGTCACAACAAACACAGCTGCAACAGATGCTGCATCAGGTTTACAAAAATCTAAGTTAATTTGCCCTTTTAAGATAATAAAGGGAAATAGTCTAAAGCTATAAAAATAGCCAAAACAGAAATTAATTTCATAATATTAAATGCTCTTTTGAATAAATTGTACTATGTATTGTGCTGTGTTAAGACCTCAATCTGTGTGCATGCCTCCCCAACGGACGCAGTCATGTGCCCTTCATGCTCCTGGTTCTCACAATCCAGACACACACAGCAGCCGTCCATCAGACAGAAGCGTTCGAGAGGAAGTTGATGAACCTCGCAGGTCCGACAGTCGATGTCATGGAGGGGATCCACCAGACGGTGGTTTTGAAATTTGGTGTTCTCCAGATGGGGTCTGAGATGGGCCTCGCAGTAAGAAACAAGGCAGGTCAGGCAGGATTTTAGGGCCTTGCTGGGGCTGTCCATGCAGGAGTCACATAACACATCTTGTGGGAGCAGCATGCCGATGGAAGGATCACTCAGTTCCTCATTTACGTCTGTGTTGTGTTGATTTTCCTTCAAATTCTCCTCATTGTTACTGCTGAGAGTTGCCATGTTTGAGAGTATTCCCGTAGTCACCTTAAACCTGATTTGGCTTAAGTTTAGGCAGTCAGAAAGCCTACTGCGCACTTACCGTATGGTTGCCGTTTCTGAGACCCTCGGAGTGGATAAGGAAAGAATTGAAAACCACGCCTATGGCATTTTGTTCTCAGCCTGTCGTAGAATTCTCATTTTTCACCCCTCCCCTGTTTATCTTTGCTCTGTTTCCAACCTCACAAAGCTTAAGATTCAACAGATTACACAGATGAGGGGAGGAAATGACGAGTGTATTATGATCAAGCCAGGGAGGCCAATGAACATCCTCCTTTTCATTCTTTCTGAGTTAATGACCTGGCTTGTTTACTGACATTCTCTGGCAAGGTTGGGTTTAAAGGTTTCAACTATAATAGTAATAAGAAAACAGTTTTTTCTGGGTCCTGTCATCAATAGGGCAAATTAATTAATAAAAACAGTATCTTCTATGTAAAGTATCATCAGTATAGCTTGTGGATGCTGTGTGGTGCTGCCCGTGTGGGAAAGTGACAGTGTTTCCTTCTGATAACAACGTTATGTAAGAGGCATGGAGCTTCCATCTGCACTTATCTACAGCACAACTTCCTGACTTCATGTCATGCTGTACAGGGGAAAGAATGACACTTGTGTTTTGTGAGGATTATCACAATTGCTGAAGATGGCAAAACAAGTATTTTCCGCTCTCTGCTGCTGTCTCACATACATACAGACACACATACACACACCAAGGTCTTGTTGGCAGAAATTGTGTCTTTGTAAGCAGGTAATGACTGAGACAGGATATTCATTGATCTGTAAAAATTGTATAACAAAACATGATACACCAACAGTGCATATTAGTTACACTATGCATAAATACTGTAATAACTCAATTAATTTAGATGTGTGGTACACTAATGAGTGAGTTAATTTACTTTAAATTGGAGCTTTAAAAATACTGGGGGTGGATTTTCCCATAAATGTTTAACTATAGCTATAGTGTTTCTTAAAAAACACATTTAATTTGATATTTAATTGTTTAATTATAGTCTAAATGTTGTTTCAAAGCCTTCTGCACACACCTTTACATGTATGTAATTCCGGTGGAAATGACTAAATCCCCTTTTATTTTAAAAATATTAAGTTGAAGAAATTTCATCATACGTGAATAATAATGTAAACTTCTCTTAAAAATATGACAACATGCCCTCAGTGTCATGATTTATAAAGGCACATGGATACATCAGTTATGTAATTTACAGCATTAAAAAACTTTGTATTTTTTTTATCTAAAATCCACCTAAAATGTTACAAAGTTCACATAATAAACATCAACGTATGTGCCTGTGCAACTGTACATTACTAAAAAAAAACGACTCAATGTACAAACAGTTGGAAGACTGTCATACTGTCAAGAGTATATGATATACAAAGCGTATTATCTCCTAGTGTGCTCCTAGAGCTACAACATATTATATTGTGCATCATAAAATAATCTAAAGATACTGTGTTTTCACATAGTTTACAATACTACAGTAAATCAGAACAGTAAACTCAGTGAACCATTGGCCTGCATTGCCAGTGAGCCACACTTGGACTGACATGGCTTGCTGTATGTAAACATGCACCAAGATGAAATATGAGTTAGGAAACAGTTCAGTGGCTCTGGGTGAAAATGTTGCTCAAAATGTTGCAATTGAACTAGTTAATAATAAAGTTTCAATTAAGTTCATGTCAAAGTTATTTACGACAAAAGACACTTTTAAGCAAATGCACAGGCACGAGCAATGCAGGCACATTAGGGTGGTAGGATTGACCCCACAGGGGCAAACACGTTCAGGGGACACAGACCCCACAATCGACTCTCTGTCAGATCTGCCACAAGGCATACAATGACACTGCACAACACTGCACTCTGATAATTGTCTTTCAGTTTGTTAAACCATGCAGCGCAGGAGACTCCAACCAACATACAGAGATATTTTCAAAGATCCTCCAGAGGTTAACAAGACACTGTAAAAGAATCCTGTTAAGAATTTATCTCACACTCGTCTCTTCTTGCTTGACATATTCATCTTGACAGTGTCCTTTCTGCTTTGTTACCACTGAGGCACCAGGAGAGGTAAATCATTAAATCCCCCCTGTCCATACGTGACATTCACTCCACAATGCTCCACTGACCTTTAAGGCTGGATGAGCACACAGCAGGAGGACCGTCCACAACAACTTTTATTATCTGCAGTACAGAATAAAGACAAGAGAAGATACTATGTTTGCAACTGAAGAGGATCTGCGCTGGAGTGAAATACCAAACAATATGCCCAAATACATTCCTGTATATCTGAAAAAGGCCATTACTCACAGTTCTGTGTCCTCAATGCAGTCTGGGTCCTCTATGGTCTCCAGCCGTCTCTTACAGGCATCTAAGATCTTTTTCCTCGGTCCTAAGGGGATATGGATACTCTTAAGGTCATGATCAGAACACAGCAAAAGTGCTTCAAGGTCGATCTTCTCCCTCTTGAAGATAGAGAAAAACTCGCTCATGCTCTGCGTAGCGAGGAAGACCTCCAGAGGCCTCGTGTCAGGCTCATCGTCGTCGTCCAGCCCTAATTCAACTTCCTCCCAGGGCAGCTCCTCCACATTCCTCTCCTGCAGGCTCCGTGCACTGCCGATGCTGTCTTCATCTAGACTCGGGTACTGCTGCAACCTGCTGCGTAAACGCACATTATTGCCTGACCGGCCCACACTGGCCTCATCTCGACTGCCGAGGTCAAACATCCCCCCACTCACATAGTTCCTCCTAAAGACCATGGTGCCCAGACCAGGCCGGTTGAACAAGGAGTCATGTCCTGAGTCAGTGCTGATCTCAGAATAGTCCACATCAGGCCCATGGAGGTCCGGCTCGCTCATGGCACGTGAAATGGCATCGTAATTGTCTCTGGGGAACATGTCACGAACATTGCGGCGGCCACGGTGGTCCTTGGGGTTGACATAAGTCCCCTGTTTGACAAACATGACATCGTTGCCCAGCTGAAGTCCAGAGAGGGAGCGAACACTCTTCCTCCCATCCTCGTAGATTTTAAAGGTCCCATCTCCTTGTTTCCTCTTCTCCAGCTTCTTCTGAATCTTTGTCTTCCCTCGGTTTGTGGCATGGAGAGTAGCCTAACGTGACATGAATAATACAGCAATTAGACACAATCACAAATGAAGGGATTAGATTTTCCAAACACTACTAGTGACCATTTTTTAAAAAGCTGTAAAAAAATGTATTTTTTTATACTTTTCACTTAGACACAGGTTTCTGTTCATGTCACTGTAAAACCTTTAGCCATGCTAGCAGGCTTGGGATGGCAATATTCAGTTGATCCACACTGAAATATCTCAATAACTACTGGATGGATTGCCATTAGAAATGTTCCGATACCATTTTTTCCCTCCCGATACCGATTCCGATATGTGCTGTGGGTATCGGCTGATACCGAGTACCGATCCGGTGGGATACCAGTATGTTAGAGACGAGTTGATAAAAAAAAAAAATTATCATGCTAGCGGCCTGCTATGACTGGCCTGATATGATTATCATTTGGTGACGCGCCTGGCCTTCAGGCTAAACCCCTTTGTAAAACATGACATAAATACAGCAAATTCAATTTTTCATGCCGCACTGTACGGCGCGCAAGTGTCTAACAGTTTGATAAATGTCGTATCTCACTAGCAGATCTACAAACAGCTGCAGTTGCAGTCGGATCTTTCTCTACAGTACGACCTGCTTTGCGCGTTGTATCATGGGTTTGTTAGTAGGCTATATGAGCTACTGGGTGATTTTCGACACAAAAAAGAAGAAAAAGAAAAAAAACCCCTTGTTGTGCCCTACCTGTCTATACCCCAGAATCGGCCGATATGTGCCATCGCCATGCTTACGGTGAACCGCGCAAGCCCGCCTACAGCTGGCCAGGCTGCCTCGCGATCCTAGATTGCCACTGAAATACCATGATAAGAACGGCGAAAAGTGCCGTGGTATCTCAGAAAAATCGCTGCATCTCAACCTGCAAACAAATGACTGTGAGCTGCCGATACTAGGAGCTAACCCTCTGCCAATCAGGACGCCTATTTTGCCTAGACGCAAAACATGCGCCTTAAAACAAGAATGTATAACCTGAAAATATTAACACCGACTGCTAATAATTTTTGCCGTAATGTCGGGGCTCAAATTTACAGGTGCAGTAGATATGAGCGTCACTCTAGCTTGATTGACAGTCGGCCACAGACTTGCATACAACGGCTAGCGTCCTAAGAGCATAAACTGCTTTATCGTCTGAGTTTCCTCTAAATGAGATCGAATTTTGACACCGTGTTAAATACATCATGCTGTGTGGAGAAAACTAAAACTGTCGATTGAAGATCAAAAACTCAGTGAAGGAAAGGTGTGTGTAATAGGCCCGCCGCCGGGGCGCCGCGGCGGCGCGGGGGCGGCGTCGGGGCGGCCGCGGCGCGGGCGGGGCGCGCGCCGCCGCGCGGGCCCCGGGCCGGCGCCGCGCGGGGTGCCCGCGGGCCGCCGGCGCCCGCCGGCGCCGGAGGTAACAGTCCAGGTGGGAAACTCTATTTTTGCATTATTCTCTGATGGAGATTAGGCTTTCTGTCTATCCAGTGAAGTCGCCCTCTGCTGGGCTGCAGGCTTTACTCTGCACTCGATTGCTTCTTCCTCAAGGGTTTGACCCGTCTTGTGACCTTAAAATGTATTTTGTGGTTGAAAGTTTGCAGTTGAGAGGAACCGAATTTGAATTGGGGAGCTACCTGAATTTGAATTTAAGATCTGACATTTGAATTGGAGCAACCTAATTTGAATTTAGAATCTGAATTTGGAATTTAAGGAGGATCTGAATTGAAAGTACAGGAAAAAGTAGAGGGTTCGAAATTCACTTTCAAACTAATAAATCAAATTCAATTATGCTATTCAGGATTCAGTTTGCTAATACAGTTATTCAAGTTGAAACAATACAAATTCAGAATTAGTGCAATTCAGAATTCAGGGTTTTTAATGCAATTATTCAAGTTGGACAATTCAAGATTCAAGCTCTAAATGATTCAAAATTCAGTTTCTGTGACACCACACAAATATCAGCCCATAGGTATCGGAGCAATTTACGATACTGGTATCGGAATCGGAACAACTCTAATTGCCACCAAATTTGGGACAGAAAATTCATTGAACCCAGAAGATGAATTGTAATAACTTCACAACCAATCTTCAATCTATGGAACCATGCAAAAATGCAAAACACAAACAAACTTTAAAAATAGACAAATCAAAACTCCTGACCTGAGAATATGGCACACTGACGGTGGCTGCATTTAGGTTGCGCAGCTTGTGGCTAAGAGAGCTGCTGGTGTAACTGGAGAAACTCATGACGTCTGATGCAGAAGCCTCAGAAGCATCCTTATGAAACTTCCTCTCCATACGTTTGTGGTGTTTCTTCTGCATCTTCACACATTCTTTGATACGCCGCTCAGCATCGCGAAATGCCCGGTCCTTCAGCTTGCTGACCAGTTTGGGGTTTAGGTTTGTCTGCTTGGCAGCGATTGAATCCAGGTAGCGGACGCAATCCATGTGATTCTTTGTGGCAGCCATGTCCAACGGGGTGTGGTAGTCGTTGTCCAGGCACCATATGTTGGCACCGAAAGACACCAGGAAGAAAAGGCAGTTGTGGTGACCATTGGCAGCTGCCAGGTGGAGCGGCGTGTTCCCCCATATGTCACACTTGTCAGGGTTTCCTCTGCGGGTCATAATAAAGATGTTAAATAAAACCTTTATACTCAGAGTTCTTGTATCAGATTTACTAAATTAATATTTTTATTCTTTGTTCAGACTGGTAGAAAGATTATGGATACAGGTTGCCTCCTTGGTCTTGCATTTAGATGACTCACTCATGAGTAAGCATGTGATTTTGTGATTATGTTTTCAGCACTGACCTCCCATCCGTGTGTTGTTAATGGGGCCTTATTTAATAATTTACAGTCTAAACACCAAATTGCTCTTTCAGAAAACCAACCATGGATCTTCTGTAAGCCACACATTTTTTAAAGGCTTTGACCAACTGGCAAATAGGATGTTTCGATTAAAATGATGCGGATGATGATTTACTATCATGCAAGGGCCATAACTAATAACATAAGCAACATTTACCCTTGGCTGACAGTCCACGACCTTAGGGTTACCTCTGTGTGTACTGCACTGTTGCTGTTGGTTTGTAATATGACCACAGGCTTGCCAGCACCACTGCTACACTACCTGTATCCAGTTTCAGGGGAGGCCGAATAGGTAGCGCCTAGCTCAAAAAGCACCATTGTGCATGGCTGGTGATGTCACACTGAATTCCTCAAGTCAGAACATACAGTATTACAGCTGCTTGGAGGATGTGGAGGACAGATGTGTATGAAGCTTTCTTACTTTTCTCTCCTGTCATGAGCCTGGTATGCAAATCTGGTTCATTATTAAAATTTTGTTCAAACTAGTACTTTAAGAATCTTAAAGATAATTGATAATGTCAAAAGGAAAACAGGATTTATTCATTATATACAGCTTGTTTGTAGCCACCACAGCTAAATGTGGGTTATACAATTTCAACTTAAAGTTCCTGCATTTATTTTTCTTCAGTTTAGAGCACTCTGCTCGATGTCACACCCCCCAAAATTGACATGCTTACTGAACTGTCTTGTGTCTTGTCTTGTGTCTTCCAATGTAGCCACGTACAGACTGCCAGATATTTGATACGATGGATGTGAAGCCGCTGTCGAAGTGCAAATGTATAATTGATGGAATGCGTTGTAGGGTTTTCTCAGGGAATGTGTGTCAGATCTGCCAGACCCAACCTGGGCAGCGATTAGCAAAGTCGCACTCTGATTTCAGCCCCCTGTCTCTTTTTGTCTGGACAGGATTAGGTTTAAACTGTCAGAAAGAAAAAGGATCAAGGGTTCCTAGAGTTCAAATATAAGGGAATGGGTTGTCATCAGTGTGCATGATGGACGGTATGTGGCAAACAGCCCAGAAAGCAACAATAAAACAATAATCAGACAAAGGAATTATGTACAATGTTATAAATGAATGTCAGAAGATAGCAATTAGCTACGTTCAGTTTTTATTTTGAGATGAAATATTTATCACTTTCAGATTATATAATATGTTTGGTGTACAGAGAACATCTAACATGATAGCTTTATCTGTCATAATTTATGTCTGTCCCAGTAAAATGCAGACCGCAGCGGTGATAGGTCTGCCCACTTATCCCTCCCCTGTTCTTTATCACATTATGGGCTATTTACGTCTTCACCTCCTATGACAGCTTGATGTTACTGCAGGCCGTCCTGTGCAATATACTTGCCAAATATAGCACTGCATGGTATCTTTCCCATGAAATTGTCAAGCATCTATTAAACTTCTATTCATTATATCCCCGGGTCTCACGACTTTGGTGCCTCTGTGAAACATTATGGCAGCTATTGTTTGTTTATTTATGTTTAATTTTACTATCTCACTGTCAATCAGGAGTTTATATTTTCTGCTATTAATAGAGGAATACTATGTCCTTGGCAGCTGAATGCCTCCAGAGCACTGTTTGAACTTATTCTGTGGGAAATAGTGAACGTAGTATTAACATGTAGGACTGGAAGGCATTCAACATTTCCTCAATTCTGCATTCCATTAACTAAACACTGATGAATGGTGCTGTCTCGCTTTTACAGCAAGTATCTGACAAACTTTACTCAATTGAGCAGATTCATAATGGGCCCATTTTTCTGGCTGACAAGCAAACCAGGTCAGCCAGAAAACATGAAGAATGGGTTGTTGCGTGTGTCCCTGTCCCAGCTGTCCATGAATACCAATCACATTTGTTCACTTTGCAGAAGAAAGAACAGCATTTATACCACACTGCAGCCTCCTAAAATGATACTAGCTACTGTTAATTAGAGAAATAATGTTCCTTTTCCTGCGATAATATAATGAAAACGGTAATGAATTAGGTAATGAACTAACAAACTATCAGAAAAATACAATAATTGCTTCCTTTTACATAACGGTTCATGATTTAGGAATTGTACAATACGTCTTTGAAATCTTTTTTAGGGGCCAACTCCAACTCTTCACATGTATAGGTGCTTTCAGAAGAGGTGCCCCTGTTATCAGCTGAACAGTGCCATCATGTTAAATGAGTCTCATCTGGCTTTGAAAATGACAGTTTTATGGTGTGTGGCTTTCAGATGATGCTATTTAAGTTTCAAAGTTAAAAAAAAAAAACTTTAGTGAATGTTTAATCAGTCCAAAACCTAATGAATTTAGCTCACAAAGCTTCATGTGGTCCAAATATGTAAAATATATTGTGCAAATAATAAAAAAGGTGGATATGGGTGCATATTGGGCTGCACATCATGTGGGCTTATTTTTTACAGAAATATTTCAGTATCAATCCAACATGGGGATTAGTAGGGAACTAAATGGCAACAAAAAAGGTAATTTGGTTAAAAGTGCTCTTAGCCAGGAGCAAAGTCTCAGGAGGGCCTGATGTCTGGGTATATCAAAACTCAAATACTGCACCCTGTAGCCTACAGGCTGACCTACATTGTTAGTGGTGTATTGTTACTTAAGTAACTGGGCTAGTGTGGTTCAACTGCAAAAAATGCCTTTAAGTAGTTCAAATATTTAAATATTATTTTATTACTTCTAATTTCTTTCTTTGGCAATGTGATGATTGCCTTATTATGACATTGACAGGGCTTTGGTATAACAGGGAGACTGGTAAAACAGTTCACTTTTGCTCTAAAAATGTTTTTCTGACCAAAGAAAAATATTTGAGGGAATTGCATGGCAGTATTGCGCACACTCCCTAATAAGTCATATTACAGCCAGTGTTTTCTACCCACCCTCTCGACACGATCAGCCGCAGAGCCTCCAGGTTGCCGTGATAAGCAGCCCATAACGTCGGTGTCATGCCATCCTCATCCGGAGCATTGAGATCCTTCCGAGTCGCCTCCTTCAGCAGGTCCAGGTAGCCGTCCCGGGCCGCCTTGTGGTACCTGTCATTCATGGTGCAGAATTAAAACACCCTGCTCGACTCCATTCCGTTTCAGCAACACCACCGACACCACCACCACCACCATCATCGTCGTCAAGCGGCGATGCAGCGGGAGCAAGACGGACTGACAATTTTACGCCGCCGTCCCCCCACAGCCAGTCGCCCCTGATCAGCGAGGAGCGACAGGCAGAGCGCGTCAGTGGTATCCAGGGACGCCACGATGGGCAACGTGTGGGTAACAGTGCTCCCGGTGGCCGAGGTGGTCCAACACAGACCGGGGACCTTGCTCTGGTCTCCAAACAACAAACCCCCTTGAAATTAGACAAACCCCAAGTCCCATATCTGAATGTAAAAAACTGAGCAGGTACTTTTATTTAATAATGTGTGTGACTTTGACATTGTGGATCCCCCCACCTGATGAGTCTAGGGCTCTCGGTAAGGACTTTAAAAAGACACACTCCAGTTGCCAGTTTATTAGGTACACCCTGCTAAAAAGTATTTCAATCTGATACAATGCTGCAGTGAATCCCCATAACTCCTCCCTAGAACAGTTTGAACAAAGACTGAACATTATAACCTTCATGAAGGTAGGTTTTATTGCAGGATTGATGTATTAGACTGCACCAGTTTTAGCAAGGTGTACCTAATAAACTGCCAACTGAGTGTAGTTTAATCATGCATGTCATCTACCCTTTATGGCTGCAGGCGCTGCAAGAGACCAAAAGCAACTCACGCAACCTCAGTTAAGCTGACCCTGTCCAATATTGATAGGCTATCTTTATGTTATTAAATCTGAAAACATTTTTGCAGCTTTTCCTTTATTCTGTCAAACACATTCATCACATACAAATCACCCACTGCACTACAAGTTGGATGGCTGTATGATCTTTAGCAGGAAATGATGAGTATAGACATTCGAGAATACAAGTATTATTGATGTCACATTACAACTGACAGACAGGGAAATAATTAGTCACTCTTGTCATTGTTTTTCCATGTTCTTATGAATAGACCATTGTTCTCACTTTCAGCTTTTCGTTGTTGGTAGGATGTAGGCTATTAAGAAACATGACTGCAGACAAAGACAGATTTAATGAGTGCCGTGAAGTTTTCCATGAAAAAAGTACCTCTGCTCTCAGCCACACCCTGATGAAAAGGCTATAAATTAGCTTAAGTACTGATCTAAAATAAGAATATTTGCAACTGCGACTCAGAGACTGAAGTTCTCAGACACTCTACCCAATTGAAACTTCCATAACAATAGGCACAGATAGTGGCCAAGCTTTTCATGTACTACACCTTCAGGCATTTTGCAGAGACAAGTTACAGACACACATCTCTTCACTAAGCAAGGAATATAATTTAAAAGCTGATGGTATTCCCTCCAAGCATTAAGTCAAAAAGATAGGCAAGTAGTGCATGCTACGCCTATTCAGAGAATTGTGATGATGTTTAGATTGTGAGGCGTAGCTGCGTGTGGTCAGCTGCTGCAAAAAAAAAAACGGGATCAAGTTGAACAAGACAAAGACAACACAGCCTTTAATAAATACAATGATTTATAAAAAAAAAGTTTGGATAATTCATTTCACAGGCAGTTGTGTTGTTTATTATTATAATTACATTTATTTTGTGCATGCTGTCAAAAGTTTTACAACAAATGAGTGGTCTTAAAAATGTGTTGTATAATTTGAAAAAAATAGCTGCTGATCAAAAAAGGAACTGGTTTCTTGTATTTTGGATCTCGTGAGAAAAAGTTTTTCCTGGAAACATCTTTTGAACTTTACATGATTATTTTGTGCAAAACATGGCGTGTTTTGTAATAATATGGTGTTGTTCATAACAGATTTATGACATTTATGACTCTTTGTACAGTAAACCGCTGTGTTTTTGAAGGGATATAAAAGCCATGATGGCTCAGACCGCTTCCCAGGATCACACTACATCAGGTAGGCTTACAGGTATCCTGAAACCGTTTCTCCATTTTTGGCAGGTTGCTGCTTTGTCCGATTGTCATATGAGTTCAACTTTGGTAATATATTACAGTAAAGCTATTTTCGCATTTTTAAGTGGCTGTTTGGCCTGTGCTGTTGTTTTTCCTGATTTTATCTGAGAGGGAGAGGGATAGATGACTTTCCTCAAGAAATAGAACAGCTATTCCATATAAAAATGTTTGTGGATTCTCACTCAATGCGCTGTAGGAGAATTTAAGTCCCAATTGTTGATTTGAAGCTGCTCTTTTGTGTAGCACCAACAGGGTGACAATTACGCTGATCTGGTGCCCATGGAAAAGTTTCACTAGGGCGGGATCTGTCTTTAAAGGGAGCAGAAGAGTGGGTGTAGCTGTTAAACCTGTAATGTCTCATATGGAACCAGATGCAGCAAACAACTCATTTGTGAATAGATTTTAGCGAGAGAAAAGCTATGTGTTTGAACACTGGCAACTGTTTGAACGATGGCAATTCCTGTGAACCATGTAGGATGACGGCCAAAGACAGGGAGACAGAGGAGGCCCACCTGTCCAACATCAGTGCGCTGGGTCAAGCGGGGAACACATGTGAACCCAACCTGAAGACCTCTTCCAGCGGACTTGTGAGGGAGCGGGGTCGAAACTGGGGATGGATGCTGTCTGGGATCATTTGTGTCAACATTCTGATCCTGGGCTGTGCCCTGGTCAGCGGCAGTGCCTACAACAATGTGAGCATCAGCACCCCTGACCTGCAGATTTTCCTCATCATCCTCCTTCTCCTCACCTCTATCTGGATGGTTTATTACATCGTCTACACGGCCAGGAAAGAAAACGCTGTTGATTACAAGGATGGCCATGCTGGACCAATATGGCTCAGGGGTGAGTAAATGTTGTAAATATACTTGCTTTAGAATTACTCTTTTTCTATTTACAGAGCAATTTAAAAAAATCTGACTTTTCTTCTGTTCTGCATGTTCTTGCTCCTTCAGGAGGACTTGTGCTATTCGGATTCCTCAGTGTTGTCATGGACATTTTCAAGATAGCCAGCTATGTGGGCTACCTCCACTGTGATTCTGCTGTTAAGGTTGCATTCCCTGTGGTGCAACTTGTTTTCATAATTGTGCAGGTAAAAATGGCAAAGACATCAGAAATGTATTCAATATTGTATCATTGCACAATATTAATACAACTGTGAAATCAATTTGCAGACATACTTTTTGTGCCTCCACTCCAAGGACTGTGTGCAGATACAAAGGAACATTTCACGGTAAGTGATTGATGGATTTCCTTTTTTTTATTTACTCACTGTCACTGTAAACATACCCGCTCCCTGATGGTATGAATTCTTACTTCTCCTTTAACTTTGAAATTGACAACTAAAAGTATTTTTATACTAAAGTTGCTGCTGCCACAGTACTGATGTTTCATGTTGCATTCCCAAGCAGATCATTATGTTTTTTTGCCTGTGATCCTTATTTCCTGTTGCTTCCCTCTTGTCTTTGTATTTAGCTGTGGGTTTATGCTCATCCTCTCTACAAATCTAGTCCTGTGGATGACCGCGGTCACTGAGGAGTCCCTTCACCAAACAGAAATTCCCGACAATCCGAGCAACATTACTAAAATGTCTGGGCGAAGCATCTACATCAATAAAGGTAATTAAAGCAGATAAAGCAATCAAAGTAGATATAGCGATCTATGAAACATCACAACTTAACACTTCCCTGTCATGTCTTACAGTGGCTTATGGAGACGATATGTGCAAGTGCAGCCACACGTCATGTAGCATGTTCAAGGAGGCCTACTACTACTTGTACCCCTTCAACATCGAGTACAGTCTGTTCGCCTCTGCCATGGCCTACGTCTTGTGGAAAAATGTCGGTAGAATTGTAGATGAACACAGTCACCGCCACATCAAATTCCATCTGAAAGATATATTTCTGGGCCCTTTGACCGGAGTCCTCTTAGTGGTGGCAGGTCTGGCAACCTTCATCGTATATGAAATGGAAATGAAGAATGAAGACAGCGATGATGACAAGAAAGACAGAGCAATGATGATGCACTTTGTCATGAATATAGTTATAGTGACTCTGATGTCTGTGTCCACTGTGATCGGCTGTGCCATCTACAAGGTGGACCACAGAGAGCATGTATCAGACAAAAACCCCACACGCAGCCTGGACGTAGGGCTGCTGGTGGGAGCCTCACTGGGACAGTTCATCATCAGCTATTTCACTATTGTAGCCATGGTTGCAACTGGAGCCAAAGGACACCTAAACAGGCTCAACCTGACCTGGGCTATTCTGATGGTGATCCAACTTGGCCTGCAGAACTTTTTCATCATTGAAGGTCTACACCGGGAGCCCTTCCACGAGGTGCAACCGGATGTCACCGTGGTAGCAAATCCATATGTGCTGCAGCCAACCAAATCAGTGAGCAGTCTTGAAGGATCAGACATGGACACAAAGCCCAGTCCAGTATTCACAGTAGACAGCCTGTACGGCCAGGCAGTTGAGCACAAACACAAACTGTTGTGGAAGAGACGGGTGTTGAAGGAGGTCTGTTCCTTTCTGCTGCTGGGCAACATCATAGTGAGTACCGTTCTCCCTCACGCTCTCAAATTTACTGTATTAAAGCTCACCAAATACTCTAACCTGTATCCTTGTTTCTTTCTTTGACAGCTGTGGATCATGCCAGCCTTCGGCGCTCGCCCACAGTTTGACCACCACAGTGAAACTGAGTTCTACAAATTCTACATGTGGGCTGCTATTGTGAATATTGGACTTCCTTTTGGCATCTTTTACCGCATGCATGCAGTCGCCAGTCTCTTTGAGGTTTTTCTGACCTCATAGCGCTGCAAGAGCATACGATGTGTACATCTATTTTCACATTATAAACCTTTTTCTTACAAATTGTAGTTTGTTTTCATGATGCTTTGTTGTCTCTCCATATACTTGTGAGGTAGATATTGACAATTATGTGACAATGTAAATGTATTCAAAACGTTATTTTAAAGAGTTACAAAGCAGCTAATCTTGTATGACTTGTTTTATGCTTAAGCCTCTGTATGCACAAAATAAAGGCAAGCAATGCAATGAGCTTAGCAAAAGAGAATGATTAATTGTGTATATAATTCTTCTTGTTCTTGTTCTTCTTGTTCTTGTTATTATTAAATTAGTACTACACAGTACGACACAGTTTTAGTAGTTGAGTCAATGCAAAAACTACAGGCTAGTAAAAAACAGCTAGGCTACATCTAGCTAGCATCAACTTTAAAACTAGTTAGTGTGAACAAATATTTAGAGCTCAAACCATTAGTCAACTGATTTATTATTCAATAGACAAGTTATTTTTTAAGCAAAACTATACTATACTACTACTACTATACTTGATTTATATGTTTTCTTTCTCCAATCTGGGCTTTAGGAAATTATAAGTATATTATATAATAATAAT